CCTGGCCGACGACGGCGCCGGGCGCGAGCACCTGGAGGGCGATGGCGCCGGGCGCGAGCGACCCGGGGTAGCGAGAGCGAGGCTGCGTGGCCCGGTGCGCGCCCCCTTGCGACCCTGGCGTTTGCTCCGACGGGCACGGGCAGCTATGGGGCTCCTTCGGCTGCTGGCGCTGGCGGTGCTGGCGACGCAACCCGGGGTGGCTGGTGGAGCGGAGACTGTCGGGAACTCCAGCGTGGGTAAGGTTGGGGGCGCCTCACGTCTGCAGCCCACGTTGCTTTTGCATTTCTTGTAAGGTCAGAATCCACGCCGGGGTCTGCCCACCCAGCAGAAGAGATGGTGAGTTCAGAACCTGCAGGAATGGATCTGGGTCGTTTCCTGCAGAAAGAAACTCCCTTTGCTGAGAAAGCCTTACTGCCAACCTAATTTAGGCTGGTCATATGAGAAGAGATTTGTAACACCTTGTTCAGACACGTTATTATCTCCCTCAGGGAGCAGCCATGTTTATGGGTTTAATTTAACATGCTAAAGCAACTCTTTACGCCCAAGTGGCCTATCTGAGCCTTTGGACAGTAAAGCTTGGTGCAGAACCGAGGGCTTTAAGATTGATGGCCCTCCAGGCTGCAGCAGGTTTTTGCATTCCAAAATCTAGTGCTTTTCAAATTGGTAAGTTCAACAGAGTTTTTGAGGAACAGTGAACTCAGAATGGGACTTTAGATTGTAGGTCATGTATTTGGTGAATGGGTTTTAGCAGTAGTTCGTGGTTTTTTAATATATAAATGTAAAAAGCAGTAATTGTGCTCAGCTGATAATCATGTGCTTTTTCCGTGAGGTTAAGCACATTCTTAATTCTGTTTTGAGCTGAAGAGACTAGTTGCAGTTCTGAAACAAGATTTTCTGAATAACATGATTGTGTTCCTAAATGCTTATTTTTGAAAAGCTCTCGTGCAAACTGAATCTTAAAATCTTTGCATAGGACTTAGGGCCAGAGCTGAAAGGGACAGTTATACTTTTACAGGAAAAATACCCTTTTTAATATAGGACACTAACATTCACCGATTGCAAAGTGTGCCAGGCGCTTTTCATGGCAGTGTTATTTAATCCTCACAACCCTATGAAATAATTACAATCCTTACTTGGCAGAAGATGAAGCTAAGTCCAAGACGATGCAAAATGCACAAGCAAACAGCCAGTAGAGGCACAGGAACCCAATTGTGTCTTGCAAATTTCATGGTCTTTCAACTTTAACAGAGTGTCTCCTAACAAGAATATTTTACTTAGTATGGTGCTTTACACTTAATTCTTCTGTGAATTCTCATTTCTTGAAACAGTTTTATGACAGAGGTAGAAGAAATACTACTCCATTTTAACAGGTGAGGAATTTGAGAGATTGAGTTTGTAGTTAATCCAGCTAGCCCCTGCGTCAGGAGGGCTGTGACCCAGAACTTTTCATTTCTGGTTCTGTGCTTTAGTATTCAATACTGTCTAGAAATTTTTATACTTAAGTTGAATCTGAGTAATAAATTGAGAGATTAATATTTTTCAGACACTATTTCTGCCTTGTGATTTCAGCACTGGTATTTCTCTTCCCATGCTATTCTTTTTGCCTTGCGTTAATATTGTTGCTCTGTGCAAAAGGACAATTTAACTGAAGAAATTGAGCAACCGCTGTGATTTAGGAGGATTTACTCAACTTTAGCAGGAGCTAACTCTCACAACTTGAGTAATGGCTTGAAAGCCAAATGAATCTTTGAAGTGGCAGATAGAATTCCTAGAATGTCTGAGGAAGGTGCTTTCTGTGACTAGTGGGCCACAAGAGGTGCATCATACATTTAAACAGTTTTCCCTTATCTTGAAGTCTCAGTTCTCTGCTGCCTTTAACACTTTGATTATTGTTTCAGTTTCGTATCCAGTAACTTGCATGGAATTAGGTAGTAATTGGAGTTGAGTAGAATGTCATTTGAGCCTTCTAATATTTGTGCTGTTGATTATTATTATATATAATTTATTATTGTATAGTTAGGATAAGTGAGGTAGCAGGTCATTGCATAGTTACAAGTGGCCTTTCTCAAAAGTATGTGAAAGGTATGTACATTTTTGTGTTTTAGCTTTTGGGCTAATGAAAATTTATAAGATATAAATGAGAAATTGGGAGGGGCCGTTGAATGCTAACCAGCTCAAGTATCTTAATAAACTGTTTTTGTTTTTAATATTCCATCTGAAGAGAATTATAAAGATTCAGCTTTCACAGATCTCTCCTAGAATTTGGTTTTTGCATTAGAGCACAAACAATGGAGGTAAATTTTAGTAAAATAGTAAAAAGGAAGAGTTGGAAATTTTAAGGTTGCAAGTTTAGGATTTGATTGGGAAAGAAAAGGAAAAGATTAGCATGGGGCAGCTCTTTTTAGAATGGAATTATTGGAAGGAGAGAGTGACCCTGGGTAGGAATGGAGGAAAGATATGAAAAACAAGAATCTCCTGGTATGGGTCAGGTGGCAAAAAATACTTTTGGTAGAAAAAGTGGAGGCACTACTTTTCAGAAGAGTGCTCCAGCGTAAGTGCTCTATCTTTATATTAGCCATTAGCTCTGTAATACCATTTGATGGGCTGTTTCCCTCTCACTCCCAAAGTAATAATATCTAATTATGCTTCCTAAATGTTTCTTAATTTTTTATTTTATTTTATTATTTTATTTTTTTTAGGCGAAGCAACCCTTGGTTGATCTCACAGATTGCAAGGACCTTGTCAGCTTACAATCCCTTATTTTTTATTTTTACGTCTACAGCATCTAGTCTTCCTAGGTGGTCTCCCATCCAAGTACTAACCAGGCCTGACCCTGCTTAGCTTCTGAGATCAGACGGGATTGAGCTTGTTCAGGGTGGCATGGCTGTAGACCTCCTAAATGTTTCTGATGAATCTTTTTCCAGGTGGCTAAGAGGTGACGTGCTTGTTAACTTCTTCATGATATATTTTGGATACGTGTCTTCATTTACAATGTCTATTTTTATGAGTAGAATTAAATGCAGAATTTGCTAGGCTGTACGGTTAAAGTTGTCTTGACCTTCAGTATTTTTCCTTGTCACTCTATGGAAGTCTCCTCAGCCTGATGCTTATGATGGATGTGCTGGGCATTTATACCTGTTAGTCCTCTTCTTCCACTAGTTTATTTGAAGGACCATACTGAATGCCTGACTTTTTTTTTTTTTTTTTTTAAAGAAAATGAGTCTCTCAAACATTGGAAAGGTAGTGGAAGTTAATAATGATACTATATTGTGTGGTATTGAACGGTTTACAAAAATTTCCCCATTTGCTTGATACTTTCAGCAGCCAAGTGACTTATGTAGCATAATTACCTCCATTTTACTGTGAGGAAACTGAAACGGAGGAAATAAATTACTTGCCTGAGGTAACAAAATTCAGCTATCATTCACTACACATTTACTTTGTGCCAACTAAGTAACTACTACTGTGCTAGGTAGGCTTTGGAATGTCAAATATGACAAAGCCCTGCAAAGCCAGGAGTCAAACTATAACCAGTTTTGTTAATATGCAGTCTTCTATAAAAATTGTGAAATGGCTGTGGGACTGCTGAGGCTGTGGGACTGCTAAAGGATTTTTACATGGAAGTTAGGTTAAAGATAACTAAGAATAGGAAAAAATATATTTACTCTTCCTTACTTCATCAAACATTGAGTTAGGAGTTCTCAAACCTAGCCGAACATTAAAATCACCTGGAGAACTTTAAAAAAAAAAAATTTGTGAAGAGAGAATAGAAATTGAAATTTAAAAGAAAAAGTAAATTTACAATGGTATCAAGAAGCATTAAATATTTAGGGATAATTATAATGGGATATGTAAAGTCCACTATAGAAGAAAACTATAGTGTTCTTGAGATAAATTGAGAAACAGTAAATAGATATCTCAAGATTTGTAGATTAGAAAATTCTGTTATAAAGTTATCATTTTTCTCTAAATTAATACATTCAGTGCCATCCCTGTCAAAATCTCAGCAGACTTTTTTTGTGGAAATTGACAGGCTGCTTTCTGAAATTTATGTGGAAGTTAAAAAGGGCTAAAAATAGTCAAAACAGTCTTGAAGAGGAAGAACAAATTTGGGGCAGAAATTAAGACAGTGTAATTTTGGCGTTTGCATAGACAGACCAGTGGAACACAAGAGTCCATAAACAAATCCTCACATATTATGGTCACTTGCTTTAGTGAAAGGTGGAATTGCAGAGCAATAGGGAAACTGTATTTTCAATAAAGGTTGTTATATCAACTGGATATATATATATATGGAAAAATGAACCTTGAGTCCCTCTGCCTCATATCACATATAAAAATCAGTTTCAGGTTGATTTTAGCCTTAAATATGAAAAGTAAAACAGTTCTAGAAGTTAATATGGGGAATGTATCTTCATGTTCTTGGAGTGTGTTGGCAAAGATTTCTTTAAAATTATAAAGGAAAAATTTGACTACATTGAAATTAAAACTTCTGTTAATCTAGAATTAACAAGTGTGAAAAAGACAAGAGTGAGAGAAAATTTTTGTAACATATCTGACAGAACACTCGTATCAATGATGTATTGAGAACTTCTAAAAGTAAATAAAGACAGACAATTCTATTTTTAAAATGGGCACCTTGACTGTCCTCAGCTCTTTAAGCATTGTTCATTATGTTTTGACATACCTTCCTTCATTTTAGTTCTTAGTTCCATCACTTACTAGTCAGTCACCTTGGGTGACTTTACCTCTTTAAGCTTAATTGTCCTCATCAGTGAAATGAGGGTAGTAATATTTACTCAATGGGTTTTTCTTTCTGAGGATTAAATTAGTAGTATGTATATGTGATTTTATGTGATTTCTACAAATTGATATTAGAGGTACAAATGTTATAATAAAATGTTTCTCCCATTGTAGGTATTATTGAATTTTCTGTGGGGAAATTTAGATACTTGGAGCTCAACAGGCCCTTTCCAGAGGAAGCTATTTTGCGGCATATTTCCAGCAATGTGACTTTTCTTATTTTCCAAATACACTCACAGCATCAGAATACAACAATTTCTTTTTCTAATGTAAGTACAAATAATTATTTCCGTAAAAACTTTTAATATTTTAGAGTTTTGTATTTAGTGTAAGCATTAGAGTGTGATGACTCTTTGTTAACTTTTTGTCTTAAATTTTTAAAAAAAATCAAGATTGGGTCCTGTCAAATTAGTGATTTAGACTGGCTAAGAGGTAAGTATCTCAGGCCTTTCTTGAGTGTGGTGACCTCTGACTTAAGTAGGAGGTGATAAAGTGCTGACTCGGGGGAGGGTGACCTGTGCCATATGTTTTCTGTCAGTAGTTAAAGCTTTCCTCATGATTTACCACTTTTTCTTATTCTGCTGGGTTCTTAATGATTTTTACCTGAGAATACATTTTAATGGGTTTCCATTTTTGTTCAGCCATTTAGTGTTGAAGTTTTCTGAGGACCTGTAAATTTACTAAGATCCTATAAGATCAACTTTATTCTTTAGAGTCTCATGGAAACAAAAGAATCCTTATGCTGAGTTCATCCAGCCCAGTGGTGGACTTTCAGCAGCATTTAGGACTCTATTACAGAAATCATCAGGAAACCTCTTAACTTCAACCTCAAGTTTGGGAAGTTTTTGAAATGCCCTGGATTAGCCTAAGCTATTGAAGACTTGTCATTTATGTTAACCTTTATAAATCTATTTATATTTATATATAACTCCTTAGACTAATAAATAAATTTCACTCTGTATGATGTTGTGCTTCTTTTTATATGTCCTAAAACTATCTGGAATTTACTAGACAAAGATCTCTTAGTTTAATTCATATATATTTTATAGGTATTGGTCATATTATCTTTCAAACTAAGTTTTTTTTATTCATGGAGGTTTTGTTTAATAGGCTAGAAATGGAAGAGTTTGATCAAGGAAAAGAGGAAGGAATACATCATTAATTGCAAGAGATAAGTGTCTATGACCCATACATTGATTTTGCTTTAGATCTTGGCAGCCAGACCAGAAATCAAAGCATGTTAAATTTCATAACATTCTTAGGAAGAAACATGCCAATTACTTAATTACTCAGCCAAGCTTTTTCTTGGCACTATATTCAAAATGAAACTTTCTATTCAGGCCCTTACATAAGAGACATAGTAAAATAGCATATACATAATTTCCTTCTTAATAGCAGCATAAACATTTGAAGGAGGAGAAAGGATGGAGATAAAAAGTATTTATATTTATTGCATGTTTACCATGTGTTAGCTAATGGTCCTTAGCTCCTAGGGCCATAGACTTTGATTGAGTCTGCCGAAATCTTTGGACTCTCTACCTGGCAAAATGTAAGGATACATCTGTATGATTTCATGGAGACCTCTGGAAATTCATTGGGCCTTCGGGGCTCCTAGTTAGGAACCCCTGTGTCTGGTGTTCCATGTAATTAATTCTCACAAAAGCTCAACAGAATAGTTCTAATGCTTGTTTTTACCTCTGAGGAACAGCTTGGATAAAGGGATGTTGACATAAGTAATGTGACAAAAGTGGCCTGGACTAACAGCATCTTAGGCCTCAATTTTCATGCATAAAGGATCTTAGTTGTCTTTAATTGTAATAATGTTCCTTTCTTTGAGCTGCCTTTAGTTCTTACTGTGTCTATACAACTGAGAAGATGATAACTAGAACTTCCTGTAGCTCTAGAAGTGAGTGGTCTATGTGAAGAGAATCGTTTGTTTCCTCTGCCCTTCCTGATGAAATGTGTTACTTTGGATGTTTTGGGTCATCATGGCAGTTGGTTCTTTGAAACTGTTGACCCTATAGTTCTTTGGTTAGTGTTTAAGCCATTCTCCCTTATGCTTGTCAAATTGAAACCCATCTGGAACTTACGGGAAAGTCACCTGGCAAGTCAGTTTGCACTTATGGGAAAAACCTGTCAGTGAAACCTAACGTATTCTAATCTCAATCCTCCAACTCAGTTTTAGCTAGATTACCTTACCCTAAAAATAGGACCTGCTAGTCTGGCAAGGAATTCCCCAACCTCTTAGCCCATCATGCCCTGTTTCTGCATTCCTTCTTCTCATGCTTTCTGAAACTCATTCTTGCCCCATATTCTTTGGGAAGAGTGCTCTACTGTTTGTGAGGCACTGTTTTCCCCCAATCCTGGATTATTTTCCCTTGAATAAAGGACATCAAACTCATTACAAAATTTTTTAGTTTCATCAATTGACAGTAGTCTTAGTACTTTACTTGACATAGTAAATTTTAATTGGGGGGATTGAAAGCTTGGGAATTTTACCGGGCATCTACTATTTCTGATCAAAGATCCTATATTTTAAAATAGTTCTTCCATGTGTATACATGGGACTGTACACACAGAGGTTAATTATCTAAGGAAGGTCTGTTTTTATTCTTTTTGTTTGTTTGAGAAGATTTGGAATAGGACGTGCAAACTAGATCTAGTCTGGAATTTAAATATTTTGCTTAATTCCCTATGCATGATGACTCTTTCCTTCCTTTATTGTAGACTCTCCTTCCCAGTACCTCAGGAACAGGCACTGACAAAGGACTGGTTTTCATTCTTAGACCAGAGCAGAGTATGTGCTCTTGGTACTTGGAGACTTTAGATGCTGAGCCTGTCCAAAATGTGGCCATTCCACTTTCCTACTCAGAAAGAGGTAACCTTTCTGTCTTTGACTCCCTATTACTCTCCATAATGTGGGACTGTTCATGAAAACTTAGAGAAAACTGTAATTCTATTAAAAGTGTTTACTGTAAGTACAACATATTTAATCAGAAAGGTTTTAACAGTAAGGGAGCTAGAGAGTTAGCATGATGACTTAAAGCCTGGGTAGGGACTAGGAGGATACATTTATTCATTCAAAAAACATTTAAAGAACCTGTAGAGAAGCGGTAACAAAAAGGCAAGATGCGGTCCTGACCACTTTAGTGAGTTATTCTAGGCAGAGGAAGGTATGGAAGAAAAATGGAGAATTTGGACAATGGCAGATGGTGTGGCTGGAGCCAGTGTCAGGGCCTCATATACAATTCGAGGTTTACATTTTATTCTTAGGTCAGTTTTGAGGAAGCATAGAGAGTTTTTAAGTAGAGGAATGATGTGGTGCATTTCATCTCTTAGAAAGTTAACTCTGTAAGCAGTGTGGGGGCTAGGCTGGTGAGGGCATAGCAGAGTCAGGACTCGGCATACCTTTGAGAACTCAGAGTGAGAAATGAGGATCTGCAACAGAGGCCACGAGAGGCAAGATGGAGAAGAGGAGCTAGATTTGAGATATTTGGAAGGTAAAATTGATAAGATACAATGGCTAGTGGTTATAGATTATAAAAAGAGGGACTATAGGGTTCCCATTTAGGCAGCTGGGATATAGTGGTGCAAAATAAGCATAGAGATAGGGTTGCTGTGGTGCTAGATGTTTTAGGGGGTTGAAATGGAGTAGATGGTGACTTCTGTTTGGGACACAATGAATCTAAGATGCTTAGAGGACACCTGGATGGAAATACATAGTAGTGAGTTTTAAAATAAGGGCCTGGAGTTAACTTTATGCCCTTTAACCTCAGTTCATGAAGTAGTATAAAACTAGAAGCTCTGTATTTATTTAACTTCTATATGGGAAGTTCTTGTAAGATAAACGAGGTTAGATATTTAACAAAAGCCACAGAAGTGAGTGCGATTGTCCAGTCATGTACATAGAGATTTGGGGGGTGGGTGGGGTAGTGATGGCAGATATTTTCATAGTGCCTCCCACAGGCCAGGCACTGTTTCTGGGTAGTTACTAACTACTGAAGAATAAGCATAAGACTCAAGAGTAGTCAGGGACCTAAGAGAAGAACCTGGAAGCTTTGCCTGAAGTGAGGAATAGTAAATAGAATATTCCAGAGAGGTCAAGAGAAGTGACAAAGTATTCATATGATAGCGCAGTTAAGAGTCAGTGATGGCCTTTAATGAGAGTCATTTTATCGGTGCAATGGGGATAAAAACTAGATTACAGTGATAGAAGAATAAAGATCAGGTGAGGAAATTTAAATTGTCCTCAAAGTTTGGTGATAATGAGGAAAAGAAGGAGCAGTAGCTAGTAAAGGGTGTAGAATCCAAAAAATGACTAGAGATAGAAAATGACAATGTCATCTGTAGCAAAAGGGTAAATTGCCTGATCAAAAACCATGGACTTCAAGCTTCCATCGAGGATAGTGTACAAAGAAAAATTATAAACAATGGAGCTTCAGTTACAGTACATATTTTCTCAGATGCGGTAAATTCATAATTG